ATAAAAATTATTCTTAAAATTTTAAATCAAAGATAAAATTTAAAATTTTTTATTATTACAATAGAGAGAGTATTTATTAATTAATCATTAATTGACAAGGAATCATCATGTAGTTAAGATCTGAGCCAGGAGGATCCCTTAAAGCCCACTAATGATTAAACTGTACAAATCCAATCCACAAACATCCTTTTATTATTTTGTTTTAAAGGCCCGCTTAAATGAGTTGCTTGGGCCTGAGAAAGAGACGAAATTGTAATTCTGACTCTTGCCTTGGATCTTGCTCAATCAATTGGATCCGGGAATATGATTAGAATGTGTCTCGGAAACGGGCTTATGATATTTTGGGCCAGCTTGGATGTTGACAGGCTGCCTGACGTGGGTTTGTTTGGGTTATATAGATTTCGGTCTCCGCCATTTGATTTGCATTTTGAATGGATTATAGATAATCTAATTCCTCTTATACTACCCATGTTTAATTTTTCTAATTTAACTTTTTTTGACTTTTTAAATATTAAATTAAAAAAATTAACATATAAACAATAATTGAAAAGGGAGGTGAACATGAAATAGGAGTATCTACTAAGTACACAGCACACTCAAGTTTGAAACAAATTTCAAGAAAACGTTAAAAAGTAAAAAATAATAAGGGAAAATTTTTTTAAAGTGGGTCTATTAAATTTTTTCTTTAAATTAAGTGAAAGCTATATTTTAAGTTTTATATAAATAAAAATGTTTCAATTAAATTCTTCAAAAATGTATTAAGGTTTGTTTTTTTGAAAGGTCTAAAATACTCTTTTTTGACAAATAATTAAAATATTAAGTATTCATTAATTTTAATTAAATAAATATTAAAATTAAAATAAGCAAAACTCTCCCTCTCATTTCTTTTATTGCTTTGATTAATGATATTTATTTTAATACCCAAATATAATTAAAAATTTTAGTTTTATTTACCAAAATTTTGATTTTTTTAATTAATATGGTTCATGTAATTAACTAAATTCTTTTAATCTTTTTAAGTAAAAAAATATTTTGATATTTAATCGTTAACTAAAGTGAAATATTTCACTTAACTAAATTTTTAATTGTATTAGTTAAAAAATAATTTTAAAATATCAAGTAATTTAAAATTAAATCAAATATGTTCATTTCTAAGGATTGACAATGTAATGAGAAAAATAGAAAGAGAGTTTTGATTGCCATTTTTTAATTTTAAAGTAATTTATTTAATTAATACTAATCGATAAAAATTTAATATTTTAATCATTACAGAATAAAAGGGTGTTATAAATATTATAGAAATTTTAAATACACTTATAATAAATTTTATTAAAACTTTTTTATTTATATAAAATTTAAAATTAAATATTCACTAAATAATGAAAAAAATCTTGTGAACGTACCGTCCACAAATTTTCCCAAACAATAATGTTGGTGGGTTTGATAGTACCATCACCAGCCTACATAAACACTTAACCAATAAAAAAAAAAAAAGAAAGAAAAATGTTCAGAGAGGTATTAAGACAAACAGTTTGTATGAAACTGATAGTTGATAGCATATCAAGAAAGATATATCACCAACTTTCAAGAAGGTAGTGATCATTTTAACACTAATTACCTTGGATATAGCTCAGTAATTAAAACCTCGTTTATTGAAGGCATGGCATGTTCACTGGCGGATCGATAGGCTTCTTGCGAAGATGCAATGTCAGACTGACTTGTGTTGTGCAAGAAAAATGCAGGGTGTGAGGGTGTTGGGAGAATTATGGAGTTGCTGTTAAGCATCACAACAATTGACCCCATAGTTGGTCTATGCAGTGCACTTTCTTGCAGACAAAGTAATCCAATATGGTTGCATTTCATTATTTCAGTTTCTGAACCCTCCCCCTCTTACGTTGGGATCCACGATATTCAGTGGCATTCCTTCTCTCCAATTTCTCCATGCCTATAGTAAAAATAGAATTGAAACATAAAATGACTAATCTTTTAAAAATTTAAATTCCAAGTAGATTAATCTCACAAATTACCAAGCTTATAAGGTCTAGAGCATCCTCCCCATCAAGGCAACAGTAATTCTTTGTCCACTCATCATAATTTCTAAAATTAATATGCCAAAACTGAAAACATCTGACGTAGTTAAAAAGTGTCCATATTTAATATATTTGAAAGTCATATATCCACTACAATTAAAAAATTTTAAGAAATATGAACAATAATTTTCAAGAGTATACTACTAAAATGGGATGCAAGGATTACCATACTTACTATGTTCCCACAATCCTTTTTATCGTATCATGAGTCTCATCAGCCATGTACAATGTTGTCATTTCAAAATCTAAAATTTTTTAATTCATTTCTTCATCCAATAAGATATTACTAAGTTTAAAATTATGAGAAATAACCCGTAATTGAGAGTTCTTATGAAAATAAAAAAACCCTCAGAACAATGCCTCCTATAATTTTGTAACGCATTTCCCAATTTAATTATGTTCTTTAAATTTGATCTATATATTTACAATCATGTGGGTATGTGATTAAATAATTCAAAATAATTAAGAAGAAATCACTAACTAGCAAGGATATCAATTTAAAAGAAAAAGAAAAAAAACTTAATTAATGGCTTTGTAGGTGACAAAGACATAAAAAGCATAACTCCTTGAAAACATTGTAAACACAGTCTTTCTTCATTTTGGGCCAAAACAAACACGAATATATTTTTTCATGAACATGCACAAGGTGCAGAAATCTGAATCTAGAGTAGCATGGAAAAGGCAGCTACCAAAAATGAAATGACCAAGGCTTGCATTTGGCATAAATTCATAGGTGAGAAGTCTTTCTTTCCCTTCCAAGCAGAAACCAAGAAATCTCACCAAATTACGGTGTTAAAGTTTAGCCATTAAGAGAACTTCATTTTTAAATTCTCTATCTCCTTGTTCAGAACCACATGATAACCTTTTTACGGCTACAAATTGTCCATTTAAAAGCTGGCCCTGTAAATCAATTAAATTGTACTAAATGTTTGAGTTCGAATGACCACAAAATGTCAAGTTAATTCAATACATCCTGATGGATGTTTAATGTTAATTTCTAACTCACAATAGTAATTACCTTGTAAACAACTCCATATCCACCTTGTCCAAGCTTATTTTTGTCACATAAGTTGTTTGTAGCTGCTTGAATAGTGGGTAAGGGTGCGCTTGGAAGTTTTTTCGTATAACTACACAGTATTTTTAGATATATATGTGTTTGGTAATTTTTTTTCTAATTGTTTTTTTTTAAATTGTAGAAAACCACAGCAAATATAAAATAAGTTTATATATAAAACAAAAAAATCTCATTTTGGAGTTTTCTGACAGTAGTTTTTACAAAAAAAAACTTAATATTTAATATAATTATAAAATTATTCATTAAAATCTAATTTGATATAATTTAATTACATCATAATTTATAATATTTTAATAATAAAAACAAATTTAAAAAACCTAAATTATTAAAAAATAATAAATATTATATATTTTAATAATTATATAATATTTTTAAAATTTTAATTAATAATTAATAAAAT